ACACCTACAGGCCAGTGGACACTCTTTCAAGGATGAGGATGTAACATCTTGGACAGGGAGGAACGCTGGTTTGAGCGTGGAGTCAAGGAGGCCATTTACGTGAAAAGGGAAAGACCATCTCTGAATCGAGGAGGGGGCCTAAGGGTACATCTTTCGCCATCTTACACTGCTGTGATTGCAGCCATTCCCCACCTCTCTGTGAATGGTACTCATGGTCATTGATCAGTGGGTTTTGGTCAGTGGTTGTTGATCAATGGTCATGAGAATTTGCATAATTAAGATTAAGAAACTGACCTCCCAGCCCATTGTTCCTTCAGTGGGCTGGTTTCAGTCATTATGCAAATGTACTGTTTATAAGATTGGGGAAACCTGCAGTCAGCTGAGACTGAAGAAGTCACTTGGATGAGTGACGAAACGTTTCTCCCACAAAACGCTACGTCCAGATGAACAAAATCAACTATTTGGAGATTTACTTTCCTGGATGATTGAGAATGCATCAAGACATTCATGCTAACATTCAAGTTGTGATACCGATTCAGAGCTACTGAGAACAACAAATGAGTGTCATCATGGTGGCTTTGCTAGAATTTACATGAAAACTAAAAGGAGTTTCAACCCATTTTCTATCAGATTTCTGTTTGTTACCAAACAACAACGCACTCATTAAAGCATATTTATCTGGTCTAAATATAGATGATAATCACTGAACAGGAGTTTTTTCCTCTTCCTCACACACAGCACACTTTACTTGATCGTTGCATTACAAAACCACCACTCTCCCCTCATTTTGAGTGTGCATTTATATGAAGATGGAAACGCAGCATTACCGTGAACGTAAAGGCAACATTTGGAGGAAACGGAGCCTGCAGTAATAGATAGCACTTACCACTGGAGCAACTCATTAGGGGGTTTAAATGCCTCACATGGACACATTCACCATGACACCCACCTCTGTGCCAATCATCACCACCACTGTTTATTGCAAATTATACTATAATAAAGTAACAGATGACTTTCAGTTGGGATTTATCACTTTTCTCTCCCATTGTCAGACTTCTACCCCCGTACCTACCTCAAAAGGCCCTTTTTGAGAGAGGGAATGCCCTGGTAGCTGGATATTCTCCCTTCCAAGGGTTGCCAAGAATTTGACACCTGTGCTGTTTTGTCCATGCAATACCTAAATCTAGAGCTGCATCCAGCCATCCTCTCCTGCACTGCTTAGCCACCTTGGGGTGCCAACTGTTTTCATCATCCATGACAGCACCTGTGCTATCAGAGATGTATGTTTTTAGCTCACTGTAATTATTACCTACTGATGGAGCTATGTCACATAAGCTGAAAAATACTGCCTTTTCATTGTCATTATTACTTGTGATGTGATGCTTTTAGGAAAATGTTGGTGATTGGTGACTTGTAGGTGAGGGGTTGTCACTGTAGGGACACTATGTCCATCTGTTACCAGCCCAATGGGTGGTATGCTTATCGTGTGGTTTAATTACCAGTTTGAGCCTCCGGATTACAGATGTAACCACTGTAAACACAGCAGGAGTTCTCTGTGGTCAGACATCAGTTGGTTTCTGATATAATTCCTGAAATTTCAGCATGTCCTCCTCTTGGGATGCAGTGTTAAAGGTTTTTCATTTTCAGGTTAATTTCACTTTGTTCTTACTGTCTTGTATTCGAATCCGTATTTTAAAATTAAACAACATTTTCAAACACAATACTGTAATTGATCTCGACGCCTCCTCATGCCATTTCTTTTGGGGGGGGGGGTTAATATGCATGGGATCTTTTTTCATTTTGCTTTTTAAAATTGAATAATTTCACCTAACTGATACTTTGCTGTTGTGTGGTTTATTTGTTTTTGTTTTTTTAAATATACTATAGCTATCTTGGTGGGATGCTAGAAGATTCAGTGGATATGATTCATAGAAATAAACCACCCAGTTAGGCCTCTATTTCTGATTTTATTATAAAACCAAAATGACACAGGGTCGTACTCAAATGGAAAAGTGAAAATCCAGCAGAGCAGTAAAGTGGCAGAAGTGACACAGCACCTGAACGAGAAGGATTGGAACTTATTCGTGTTATAGCACAAAGCTAGAAAATTGTTGGACATGTACCGCACTAATGTACCATACTATATACACTATAGAGTATAGAATGGTATATTGGGGAAGATGTTAATTTGCTTAATGTGCTTACTTTTGAATTATGAAGTTTAAAAAAAAAAGATTATAATAAATTATTTGCAAAACATTGGTGTTTTTAGAATAGGGATTAAAGAGAATAAAAGCCAAGGGCATGTCCTTCAGTTTCATCATGTGATTGCTTTTCACCTCTTTAAGTCCAGTGATTGAAGTATGACCTGATGAACATATTTGCTCAGCCCGAGTTGGACACAGGGCCCTAAGCTTCAAGGACAGACTCGACTGCCATCATTGTTCCTCTCGTTCTCATCTCCGCCACTCCTTAAAGTGTTGCAGTCTAATTTTAGCCGACCATCTATTAGAAGAGAAGTGAACTTGAAAAGACTGCAGCTGTTTTTTGTTTTTTGTTTGTTTGTAATTTCTAAGAAACTGAGAAATATTTGCTATCATATTTGCAATCAAAATAGTTACATTTATTATCTGTATGTATTTTTTTTATGCCCCAAGGAACTTTTTAAACTATAGTGAAGCATGACTCATGAAAAACCTTTTTTAAAAAAAGGTAAAATCCTCAAGTTAATCACAGTATCTTTGTTTGCACTACACCCAGTCACATAGTGCACTGGTTTGTGATAGGCAGCACTGGGTATCTTTTACACTTGCAGTAACCACCTGCACTGCAGTGCCAAAGCAAACACACTGCAAACATCAAAAGTTTCTTTTTCAGCATTAGTATTCATCAGGCAGGAAAACTGTCAGTCATAAGCAAGTAATAAACATTTTAAATGGTTTGGCACATTGACCTAACACAAGCTTGTGTACTACTTCTTTTCCTTCTTCAAATGTATAATTTTAGGGCCCTCGCAGTAAATTTTTAATCTCCTATGTGATGTCTGACCTGGCTGCAGGAGATTGCAAAACTCTACCTGGCACGTATGAACCAATGAACTACCAGAGCCAAAGGACCTGATAAAAGCAGTGAGAATATTAACTCTGGGTTTGGTTGTATTGATTGTTTCATGTCTCTTCACATGCTTCAGTATTGCTATCAACAAACTATATGGACTTTGTGTGTTGCTTCAGTTTCTCATATGTAGTCTCACATGAATCACGACAGAAGTATTTATCTTTCTATCGCTGGATTGTGTTTGTGTCTGACAGGGTGAAGAGGGGCCTCCCAGTCTGGAGTACATCAAGGCCAAGGATTTGTTCCCCCAGAAGGAGCTGGTGAAGGAGGATGAAAGCCTTCAGGTGAGGTGACAACCACTTCTACAGCACGGTCCCATCTGCTCTCACGCCCAGCAACATGACTTAATATTAGAAAACCAGGAACAAGTGTGGCACTTCTAGGTTGTGATGTTAAATCTTGGTGGCTAATAAAATCAATGTTCCTCTGAAACACCCTCACCTTGACGCCTGGTCATCTCATGATTTCCGAGATATTACTGCACAAGTCTCAACTCGACAGGCAGAGGAATGCTTTTGTTTTTTTCACTGTCATGTAGCTCAACTTTTTCCTGTGCTAAACACTGACGAAATTAATTAGCTATTAGAATAACAAGTATTTCCATTTGAATGCAGCAATTGCCCACACTCTCTACAGATAAAGTATCATAGAGTTCTAATAAGAAAACAAATTCTCTTCAGTAAACTTTTTTTTAAAACTGGTTCTGAATTAAGCCAGCATGTAAAGAAAAGGGATATTTTTATGCAAAGCTTTAATAAGGAGAGCAGGAAGTTGTTTTGCACGTACATATGAAAGGACTGAATTGTGGCTGAGGCCTTTCTTTAAGTGCATTGGTTGTAAAGGAGCACTTGTGCTTGACCTACTTTAAAGCATTTATTTTATGAATATAAATGTAAATGTTCATATTATTAACATAAAAAGGCTAAATACATATATGTATTTGGCCTGTTGAAGATCAACTTCTAAATACAGTAGAAATTGTACTTGAGAGATTTGTATATGTGAGCCATACTGCAGAATAGACTACCCCAAGCTGTTCCAAAAATGTTTTACATAAATATATTAGAAGCCGCTGCAGAGGATAAAAAGGTTCAGAAACATTTAGGTCAGTTTAAGTGAGAAGGATTTCAAAGTCTGTTCCAAGTGAGGATACAAGTAGCAGAACTGTGATGGCTAACTTGCGCTTGACCCTCTGGTGTTAAGCTGGCGCTCTGTGGCTGTCTGGTGGTTAATGGAGCTTAGCATCATGTGTCTGGAGCACTGGACAAAGGAAAAATGGAGGGAGGAGGGGCCTGGGGTCACTATCTGTTGTTTCTTTTTTGTGGCTTTCAATTGAAGCCACTTGAACTGCAGGGAGTATCAACCTGTTCAAATGTTTTATTATTAAAGTGCTATGCTTTAAAGGGCTCTGTGTCAAAGGTATTTTGTATATTTTTTCCAACTGAGCAGTGTGCAAAGGAAGCATGGCTGTATCATAGTCTGCTAGCAAAGTTTATGAGAGCGTCTTTTAATCTACTGAATTCTTATGGCAGAATCTTTGTTTCTGCACTCTTACGCTTGCTTCCCTTCCCCTTGCATTCACACATGGAGTCACACATTGTATCTGTGCTTTTGTGTGACTTTTTGTGCATGTGTAGGCTCTCCCATGATGGTTTCACTGATAGCTGATGTCTCTTACTGCGGATAAATTGCAGGCATTTCCCCACCCCACTGTATTTATTACCCTACTGCCTTCCCTCCTGCGTGCGTGCAAGTCATGGAACATGCTTTCAGTTGCGCGTACATTTGCTCACGTGCATGTCCTAACAGGCAGGCTGCTTAAACCGGAAGTCACGACTCACAAGTCAGTGTTTTCTTTTTTTTCCTCTTTAAATGGGGCTTTCTACTCACCCTCCCTCCCCCCCTCTCTCGTCATATTTATGCTGCTGAAGGCTTCGTAGAGGAAACGTGACACAGTATCTTATGCTGCACTTGCTTGCTGCCAGTGACTCATGCACCTACTTTTGGAGCACAGCTTGTTTAATGCAGCTTGCAGTCTGTACAGCATGTTAACTATGGCACTTCTAGCAACACACTTCAAGTCTTTTCCACAGCAGATAAATGTGTACACTCTCTACCTGAATTTGTTTATTTCTACTGCCACTGAGCCAGTATTTAATGAAATCATATACCTTTCCTCTGCTTTTGTGGCGTTTTCCTTTTATATATTGTAAAACAGTATCCTCGGTCCTTTTCCTCAGTCAGTAGCTACATGGTTTTTAAGCTTAACCTAGGTGTCAGCGCCATTTGTCCTCCTGTCACTTTCAAGGACAGGAGGACAGTTGAAAAACTGGAATATTTTAATCCCAAAGATATTTCAAAGTCCCGCTCTATTGTACCGAGAAGGAGGGGGCTGCTGCTGCCTATATTTGGCTCTGCTGATGTCTGAGCGCAGAGTACTATGTGCTCCATTTCCCAGTTTAAGCTACACTTTTTTTCCCCCTCGTCATGCTTCCTGTCTCGATTCATGTGGAAGTTTTCAGTTATTGATGAGCAGCAGGTGCAGTGATAAATAGCAGGGCTTTTTAAAAAAAACAAAAAACAAACAAACATTTTTATGGATCAGCCATCATCAACATCTTTTGACCTCTTACCACTCGATGGGATTTCTACATAATAGTCCTGCTTTATTTTAGAGTTTTATGCAATTTGGCATGAGAGTAAATAGTCTGTTGGACTGGATGGAGTGATGGGAATATCGGTCACATTTAGCTTTTTGTGCTGTGGAGCTCTTCTTTCAGCAGTGTTAGCTGTTTCAAGTGGGCCTGCTATAGCCTTGCATTTGCTCTGCTGCATGTTGTCTTTTTTTAACATGCACTAGTGGGTCCTCTTCAGCATGACTCAGCAGTGCATGCTAATACAGAATGAGGTAATGTTGTCTCTAAGCAACACTTTCCTCACTACTTAGCAACTCAACAACAAGACCGGTGTCGCACTTTTCATTAGTTTGAAGCAGCCATAGCACAATAACTGTGCTCGTGCCAATCGCATCCAAGTGACAACTAAGGAAAAAAAGTGTGTTTTAGTCAAGACGGAATGGGCCTAACACAGTCCCCCAGTTCATCACAAAGCCGAGAGTGTTTCACAAAGTTATTTTATAATCTAACACTTGTGCTCCTGGTCAACACCATTTATTCAAGATCTTTTGTTTCAGTGCATGTTTTTTAAATTATATTGAAAAAGCAGTAAAGTAAATAGAATAACAACAAGAGCAGCTGGTCTGAAACTGATTAAAAGCTTCCGGTTTTAGATAAATGAAAAAGATGTTTTGGGAGTTGGCACGTGCAACCATGTGTCTCTTCCACTCTGTCGACTTTTAAGATAATACCCTGCCTCAGAATGAAATGAAAAATGTTCTGTTAACCTCTGTTGGGAAGCAATTACCTTAATGTAGGGGTCTCGTTGCGGCTGAAGCCAGGGCTTGGCTGCGACTAATCAAATGGCCATGGAATGTTAATGGACAGTTTGGGATCCCTCTCCCTCTACACCGGAGCAGACAGTCTCCCTCCTACCAACAAGCCCCTCTGTGCTAACAAAGGCTCTTCTGTAAAACTCATATGCCCTAATTGGACAGCTACACATGCACGCTTTTTCTCATGTCCCTCTTTTTCTTTTATCTTCAATATTACTCTGACAGGATGATCACAAGCTGTCAGCTATACTGGGTATTGCTTATAAAAATGAAATGCCGTGCCAATATGATATTTGAGTTTAAGTACCTCTAAAAGTATGACAAGGAGCTTAACAGATCATGTCACATATCTTGCTGTTTTGCTCTGAGATTACTTTTTTTCTTTTTTTGACCAAGTTAAATTTAATTTGTCATTGTCCAAAAATGACATTCCCACAATCAATATTTAGAATGAGTTGCACCAAAACTGAGGACGCAGCATTAACATAATATGTTCTGTCAGGATTAGACTTCCAGTAGATTGAATAAAGCTGTTAAATGCGTGCTGGTGTAATGTTTCATGCACATGAGACTTAAACAGTTCCATTGTTTTTGGGTCTTTGCAGGTGCCGTTCCCAGTTCTTCAGGGGGAAGGTGTGGAATATCTTGGCCGTGCTGATGAAGCCATCATTGCCATTTCTAACTACAGACTTCACATCAAGTTCAAGGACTCAGTCATCAATGTGAGTGCATGTCTCTGACAACAAACCTAACAAAGAATCACAGAACTGTCACTTCTGCCAGAGCCCTATGCCACCAGCAGAGGAGAGGGAAGGATGTTTAGTTTGGATGCAATTAGACTTTTTCCCTTCCCCCATATAAGTTTTCATTAAGAAATAACTGTGGCAACAAGGCAAATAAACTTTCAATGGGGTACCCATTGAGCACTTTTAGCTTACTTGGCATGTAGTTGTTTGTACCAAGGTGAAATCACAGGAGCACTAGACCCTCTAATCCTGAAACCACAAAGGTTTAATGTGACATCCAGGCTGGCAGTGCTCTCCACCAGCTCGCTCCTGCTGACGTCAGGCCTTGCTCAAATACAAACAGGCTGGTTGTTTGCATTCACTGGCAATGAAAATCCTTCTTCCCAAATCCATGTCATCTTTTCCAGAAGGATTCAGCTTCTGGAAAAGATGACAGTTTTAAAAACGAAGGAGGTGGCAAGGGCCAATCACCGAGGCACGTCCTCACCTTAACTTTAAGCAGAGGAGAGTGAGATTACCACACAAAGTTCAAATGTGACAGACTAACAGTCCTTATCAAACTGATTTCCTACTTAGACAGACTCCTGCCTTGACCCCAGAAGCACACATGAACTGTATGAATGCCAGCAAACAACCTTTCACCCACACCTCCCCTTCACAACTCTTTACAGCCTCTTACTTTTAAGCTGTTTTCTTGCCCTTTACTCCCGCCTGTGTTTGTCTTTCTCGTCATGATTTCCATTTGACTTGGCCATGTGCTACAAATAGTGCACAGCGTGATGTGCTCGGTTGTCTTTTCATCTCGCAGCCTCTTTGGTGTTTACTTTCCTTTTAACTCTTCATTTCCCAATGCCTCCTTTTTGGGTTTAATAGTTTGTTGTTTTGTTTTTTTCCATTTCCTCCTGTCTTATTTCTTCCCTCCCTCCTTCTCTCCTTGTCTGTGCTCCATGGTGTCACTGTGTTTTAGACCTACCCAGGTGTGGACATTGACATATCTGTGAGTACCATATGATAAAACATCACCCTCTGCCATAGTCTAGACAGCTGTCATTAAGCTCCTCTTCACTTTACATGATTGGGATGCATTGAGGCCAAACTGTAATTTACATTCAGCAGAGTGGTAGATGGATTAATCATTTTGTGAAATGACTGTGTCGCCAGCACTCTTTCTCTTGAATTAAACTGGCCATTATTTGTAAAAAAGTGCGCATACATAGTCCTTATGCTCAAAGGTTTGTCCATAAGGGATTTTTTAAACCTCGTCGGGGGTTCATTAACATCTTACTCTAAAGTACCACTTACCTGCTTGAAAAGCATAAGGGACGGCAGGTTTGTAGCTGTCACATGGTATCATAACAGTTCTAGAGGCAAAGTTGGAACACCAGTGTGGCCTTTTGTTCCTCTGCAGTCAGGTTAAAGGTTTACTTAGTGTGTCTAACCTGGATACAGTCTGTACTAGACCAGAGGGTGGTAATTTCTCTGCCAGTGTGCTGTCTGCTCACACAGTGGGCCATCAGGCTAAATGCACGTGCTCTCTGTCTCCCTCTGCAGGTGCCTCTCAGGCTGATAGAAAGTGTAGAGAGCAGAGATATGTTCCAGTTGCACATCATTTGCAAAGACTCTAAAGTTGTCAGGTAAGAAGAGCCCCTCACTCTTACACTCTCTTACAGCACAGTACTCTGATACACATTTGAATTAGTAATACTATGGGTTCATTTAGGAAACTGTACACATTACCAATTGTAAATTGTACACATAACAACAGACTGACCGAATTTGGAGTTCAGTTTGACTTACTTGAGATCAAATTAAGCAATAATGTAAAAGGACTTGACATGGAGAAAAAGTCAAATTATGTGTTTTTGCAGAACTGTACTTGTGACTAAAATCATCAATGACTACAACTTGTGACGCACTGTCATTCACCCACCTTAGATAGGAAATGTAAAATAATATGTAGGTAATACTTTTTTGAAACTAAGGTTTCAAAGGTAATAAAGGGTGTTGGTAAATTCTCATCTTTGTGTTCATGAACAGTTTAAAACCAGTGGAACTGTCGCATACTCGGTAGCAGATGTGCCCAGCAGCATTTTGGTTCCACATTATTAAGCAACCACATTACTACTCTGGTTTAAAGGCTGGAAAATCACAGAACAGCTGATTTGTTTTGTTTTGTTTTTCTCCTAGTCCCCAGTGCATGAAGGGTTTGTTGGATCTCACTAATCTTTCTAATCTCCACAGATGCCACTTTGCAACGTTCAAGCAGTGCCAGGAGTGGGTCAAACGTCTGAACCGGGCCATAGCACACCCATCACGGCTGGAGGACCTGTTCGCCCTGGCCTATCACGCGTGGTGTCTAGGAGGCAGCGCTGACGATGAAGATCAGCACCTTCATCTTTGTCGCCCAGGTTCACACACATTCGTTCACAGTTTTCGAACAAGTAAATGTTTGAGAGGGCATTTTTCATTTATACCCTCGCACCATGTTCTATGTGTGTTTGTAGGTGATCATGTACGTCAGAGAATGGAAATGGAGGTCAAGAGGATGGGCTTCGATACTCAAAACATCTGGAGAGTGTCTGATATCAACTGCAACTACAAGTATGTCACTGATGCTTAACCATGAAAAGCACAGCAGGTATATCCTGATGACTGCATCTAGATTTAGTAGTATAGAATGGTGTCATGATAAAGAGTAATGATTGGATAGTTGACGGTGAATGGCAGTGTTTCTGTGAGATTTCTGAGAGCTCTGCCAGAGTGGGAACTCTGGTTGGTAATATAAGTGTCAGAATTTTAGAGTTAGTTACTTTTTGATGAGATCTAAGGTTTTTCAGAATGAGAGTGTCACCAGGGATGGGAGGGAAGAAAAGGGTACCTCAAAGTGAAAGGCAACACCTAGAAGCAAATTCCACATCTTTTAGATATATGACTTTGATGTTTTCATCATCGTCCACTGTGACTAGAAGTCTTAATTGATTAATGGATGTCCAATAGGTACACTTTAAACAAGACAAGCTAATGGCTAATCTAGGATGTCTTTAAAGCTGCAATTTTCCCTGTCATTAAAACAAACAGCGCACTGAGGCTACCAGGTTGGGTAGTTCAGCCTAAGATAAACTGTATTAAGGCAGTCACCTAAGTAGAAACAATAGACTGAATGGGTGTATGAGTGTGTGCACCTGTACATCGGGGTCTCCTTTGCAGTCTGGGTAAACAAATGCTACAAAAAAAAAA